TTTTTTTTTTTACCCCTACACCCCTCATTCCTTCGAAGCTCTCACTCTGGAGGGTAAACCCTTTGAAGGGGTTAGAGCATAGGGATGAGCCCTTCCGAATGGAACGCAGGGATTTTCTGCAACCAGACCCTATTGCCAACAGGAGGAAACTTATCTGAGATAAAGGTAAGTGCTGTCCCCTGCTGGACAGAGAGAACTGCAACATGATCCAAAGCCAGATTTCTTTTCTTCTGCGGAACATAAAATACATTTAAATGGTTTTTCGTGTTTTTCAATACATTAGCAGTTTATTTAGTGATGTCAAGCCCCAGCAAACAAATAAACAAATAAAAGTAAATATAATGTGTGTGTGTGTGTGTGTGTGTGTGTGTGTATATATATGACTTTGTTACTTCATTAATTTATTAATTTTTGTGAATTGCATTGTTACTTTGTTTATGCTACATTTTAATTTAAGTATTACATTAAAATTAAATTTTTGGCATATTATTCTTATCCATTAGTTTTTTTCTTTGTAACTAATTTTATTTAATTAATTTATTCCTTTTTGTGAATTGTATTATTTTATTTGTTTATGCTGACTTTAATTGATTGAATAAAATAGTTTAATTATTATATATATTTATTTGGCATATTATCTGTATCTTAATTTTTAGTTTTTAATTAATCTCGTTTGACAAATGTTACTTCATTCATTTATTTATCGCTATTTTACTGTATTTGTTAATGCTGCATTATGTGCATGTGTGTGTATGTTTATGTGTGTATATATTTATATTTATTACATATATTAATATTATATATTTAATTATTAAATAAAATTTAAATGCAGCATAAACAAATACAGTAACAATATATTATTTAAATAATTTAAACAATAATTAAAACATTTAATTTAATAATTTAATTGAAATATTTCACTTTAATATTATTTTTACTCAGTCATGTTGTTCCAATCACAGGAAAACATGCTGCTATTTACATACAATACAAGTTAAAATTGGACAGAAAACACCATAAAAGCAAACATGAAAAGCGTCTATATGAATTGTGTGCTACATTCCAAGTCTTTTGAAGTCATAAAATAGCCTTGTATTGTATGAACATCTTGCAGAATAAATGTAGCACTACATCAAAACAGTATACTTCAATTTATTTGGTCAGTAAAATCAACGCATCATCTTCATTTCAAGTGAAAGAGGAGAGCAACATTCTCTCGCACGCTCATCTCAATCACAGACACACTTACATTCACGAGCATTCAGCGAAAGCAAGTCAAAGGTGAATGATTCTGGTTAAAATCACCGAATCATAAACAAATCAGTCCATAAGTACAACTGTGAATATTATTATTATGTTAAGGTCAAATAAATGAATTTCCCACATGTTCATTACAGTTACATGTACTCAATCTCTACTGTGTGCTGTATTAATATTGTACTCAGATAATAGGATTGTTGTTAGCAAATTCAAAGAAGTCTGCCTACAACCGTAATAAAAAAAAAAAGTCTTGTTTCTGTCTACTATTTGCTTTAATCTACACAAAAACTCTGTTCCGAATCCCAGTGAGCTGCCTATCTAGACAGCATTTTAAGACATCATAATAATTATGCTACCTTCAAGATACTTTAATTTGATCAAAATGTTAAATGCAATCCCATAATGCATTGCAAACTCTATTGGAATCGATTGTCTTCTGTGTGCATCACATGAAGAGCACTATTTGTATGACGAACGGAGTTGTGGCTTAACAAAATTAGTCTCACCCAAGTTCACCCAAAAATGAAAATTCTATTATTTACTCATTCTCTTTCTTCAACTGAGCACAAACAAAGATATTTTGAATAATGCTGTTGAACAAACAGTTGACGGTAGCCATTGACTTCCATAGTATGGAGAAAAAATTACTATGGAAGTCAATGGCTACCGTCAACTGTTTGATTACAAACATTATTTAAATATATTTTTTTGTGTTCAACAGGTGACAGAAATTCATACTGGTTTGGATCAACTTGAGGGTGAGTAAATGACAGAATTTTAATTTTTAGGTGAACTGTCCTTTTAAGAGACAGCAAAGGCAGCTCACTAAACTTTGGAACAAAGTCAAAGTGTGTCCTGTATAGATAGGTAAAGTTTAGTGCATCTTTTTAGTCTTCATACAGCTATATTGAAGCGGAGAGCTGATCTGGGGTCAGAGGTCGTGAATGATGAGAGCTGCAGTGCTGTATTAGCACTGATCTGACGTCAGTGCATAAGGCAGTGATCTTTACATTCAATAATGCCATTTAGCTTAGAGAATAGGAAGCACTGTCATAAAAACCAGTGTGAAGGAAATCCTCCTTTTAAGTATATTTTAATGCATTTTTTTAAAATGAGAAGATGCTCTCTTTGCACGGCATTGCTTGTGATAAAGTCAACACGAATTCTGATTCGATGCGGTTTACTTTCTTATTGCACATTCCTGGTCCTTCATCAGTACATGTTATTCTGAACAAACAAATGTTTAGCTTCATTATCCTTCATCAAAATGTCATCCAAGATTGAAAGCACTAACTTTTCCAGCTGATGCCATCATTCAAGTCTCATCCTACATTTGTTTTCTTGTCGAATACCCTGTTTCTTTCATAAATGCATCATATTATGCAAGTAAAATGGATCGTGAGCCGAGTTTCATGTTAACTTTAATTCTAATGCCTTCATGCACCAGTTTAACGCATGTATACAATTTGGAAACATTTGGAAAAGCATGACCGTCGTCATGTCAGTGTCAATCTTCCCTTGTCTTCTGCTCTTCATCCTCATCATCCTCTTCCTCTGTCACTGGATTCCCACCAGGTCAGTGATGGGTGGCGCAAACACCATCAGCTCCTGATATTTGTGGAAGAACAGACGCAGACGGGAGATGTAACCGTCCTCCAGATACGGCAACTTCTTCTCCTTCAGATACCGAGACACTATAGGCTTCACCTGAGACAATAAACACATGCATATTCATTATTACTATTAATTTACTATTAGATATATTTACTTGCCATATTATCAATTTGTTTATAATTTTTAATGAATTTTGTTTGAATAATGTTGCTTCATTAATTTATTCATTTTTTTGTGAATTGTATTGTTAATATTGTTACTTTTGATAATATTGTTTATCCTGCATTTTAATTTAATTTAAACATACAATTTGTTTTACATTAAATTTATTTTTTTACTTATACATATTTATTGGCTGTATTATCCTTGCCATTTTAATGAATCTTGACTAATGTTAGTTCATTAATTTATTCCTTTTTTGTGAATCATATTGTTACTTGATTTGTTAATGCTGCATTTTAATTTAATTTAAATATTAAATTATTAATTATTTTAAATTATTATAAAAATTGTTACTTTATTTTTTTATGTTGCATTTTAATCTAAATATTGGGTTAAGTTATTAATAACGTGTACATTAAATTGAAATTTATTTTTTGGGGGGGCATATCCTTATCCATTAGTATAATTATTAAATTAAATTATTAATTCAATTGTTACTTTTTGTGAATTCTATTAATACTTTATTTGTTAAGGCTGCATTTTAAGTTAATTAATAAATTATTTTAAATATTTAATTATTTAAATTATTAAACAATTGAATATTGTCTATGTAATATTTATTTTTTAAATTATATTATTAAATATTAATATTATAATTATATATTATAAATTATTAAATTCAATTACTTGCTACATGTTCCCTATGTCTTGTCTGGGCTTTTATGTTGAAGTGTTTCCTGTGCTTTGTTTGTAGTCTGTTTGTTTATCGGTTCCTCTTGATTAGTCTCCCCAGGTGTGTCTTATCTCGTTAAGCTCGTTAGCACCCCATGTAAATATATATTATGGTGGCCGAGAAGTGCTAAACAAATCACAATTCTTAAAAAAAAAAAAAAAAATTACAAATGCAAATGTGTTTTCAGAATTGTGATTTGTTTAGCACTTCTCGGCCACCGTAATATATCCCTTGTCTTTCACTTGTCCTTTGTCAGTCATTGTTTCCTGTAATGCTCTTGTTCTTTTCTCGTTCTTGTTTGGTTTAATTTATTAAATACCCTGTGCCTAGATCCACGTTTCTGCCTGCACATTACATTATTAAATTCAAATGCAGCATAAACATTTAGAAAAAAATAACACGTCAATATAAAAAAATTAATTAATTAAAACAATTAAAATTATTTTATTTATTAATTTAATTGAAATATAAAAAAATTATATGATTAAATGACAAATCAATTATTTACATGATTTAATAATTAAATTTTTGCAGATTTTTTTTTAATATACTGCAGTTTGAGAAACACTTTGTTCCATGTCCATATAAGCTGTGGCTGTCAGTATGAACGCTCACCTTCAGGCACATGTTGTCAGACAGGAATGGGAAGAGGTGATGCTCTACGTGGCAGTTGATGAGGGAATGGCCGAAGGTCCAGTCCAGCAGCGGGTTTCGGGGAAGGTTCAGGACTCCGTGTGTCATCTGGTAGATGCGTTTGGGCCGGTGAGTGGCAGAAAACATTGACAGGCCGATGTGCTGCGAAAGGGGAGACACAGAAACCAACTATAAAAAAAGAAAACTACAACTCTATAGTAACAATGAAATGCTGAGACAGAGAAGATTATGGCGCCTTTAAGCGATTCCACCTTTAGTTCAGTGTGTATGTCTGATCTTTAAGTGGGATGAAACACGTTCAGCGGCCCGAGAGACGACACTGACACCACAGGGGGCCCAAACTAGACAAAATTTATAGCACATAGCACATACAAGCATTTATCACACACACATACTGTAACACACTGCAGCTATGAACAGAGCAACAGAGCATTCACTCCTAAACAAAGGTCTCACACATCGCTGTAGGTCTCAGAGCCGACGGCTGCCCTTTAAAAAGCTTTAAACCAGCAAAAAATACCTCAGAGGATCAGCACAATACAAAAGTACATTCTCCCTTTGCTCTGCCTGGGAAAATCATGCGTGAATTGTTCTCCACCGTTTTATGTTTTTCTACAAACGAACCCTGTGAACCTCCGCGAGCAGGAGAGGAGAACAAAGCCGCATTGAGCAGGTCTCGCGGGAAAGGATGGAGAGACACACACAGACAGGGATGGATTGATGCAGACTTTAGCTGAATAGCTTCGAAAGATCACGCTCAGACTGATTACTCTTACGAGCCAGAGAGAGACGACAGAAAAATGTAGTGCTGAAGTGTTACTGTACGGCGAGAGAGTTTGTTAGTGGAGTGTGTGGTGCACTGGTTAAAGCTCAGGACCAAAGAAATACTAGCTGCAAAGACCAATCCTTTAACTACCACCACTGTACCTTAACTCAACTGTTTTTATATTTTCTGAAGACAAGCAGTGTAAAAACAACTATAGCATGCAACTGTTTTTATATAATGTGAAGAAACGTGGTATAAATAATTTAATTTATATTTTCTGAGCATGCAAAAAACACTATAACAATCAAAAAACTATTATATTTATAATACTTTAATATTTTCTGAGCATGTAAAAAACGATATTTTTATATTTTCTGAAGATAAGCAGTGTAAAAAATGTATCCTATATTTTCTGATCGTGCAAAAAAGAAAAAAAAAAATGTCATGCAAAACCAATTGGAATTATTAAATCTCATCTTTTCTGAAGATAAGTCAAATAAACAATTTAATTTTCATTTTCTGAGCACGCACAAACAACTACATTTTTATATTTTCTGAAGATACATAGTGCAAATAATATAATTTATATTTTCTGAGCATGCAAAAACAACTACATCATGCAAACAACTGTTTATATTTTCTGATGATAAGTAGTGTAAATAATTACATTTATATTTTCCGAGCATGGAAAAACAACTACAGCATGCAAAACAACTATTTTTTTTATATTTTCTAAAGATAAGTGATATTCTCGATTAAATTTTCTGAGCATGCAAAAACAACTATAACATGTAAAAACAACTATATATTTTTGCTTATAAGTGGTAGAAATTATATAATTTATATTTACTGAGAATGTCAAAAACAGCCATAGCATGCAAAAACTATATTTGATATTTTCCTGAAGATAATTGGTGTAAATAATTGATATTAATTTTCTGAGCATGCAAAAACAACTAAACATACAAAAAGAGTTGGGCTACTGTTGTGTGATGCTATGGTTGAATATCTAAAACAATTGTAGAAAGCATGCAATTCCAAAAAAGAATCAAAATCAGGTGCACAACCAAAAAATATATATCATAGTCATATATCAAAATGCAGCTTGCATTTTTCTATGATGGTATATCTCACCTGAAATATGTTGACGTGTATGTACGGCAGGGAGAACATGGCTCTGCACAGAAGCATGACCACCAGAGCAGAGCTGCACGACAGTCCTGACACACACCTGAGCAGGTAATACTGAGAAAAAAAACCCAGACACACACACAGGACGGTGCGCAGGATCTGGAGCGGAGACTGACCCTTCAGCTGACCTGAAACACAAGAGAGAATATGCTAGAGGTTTCACTGATGATGAAGCTGGTACCAGCACATACACTCAAAGGTCAAATGCAAATATATGTAAATGTCAATCAGCTCAGAGTTAAATGAACTCGGTTGTTGTGGTGTCCTAAGCAAAAATGTAATTTTATATCCTCAGTAAACGAGCGTGAAACAACAATCACTGCTAATCAATACAAAAGGATAACATAAGATTTATCACTTGTGGCTTTATCTTATAATAACTGGTTAGGATGCACTGAGAAGCTGTGACTGTAGGGACCGAAAAGGGCCTCACTGATGGCGACGATGGGCGTGATGATGGGGACGGCCAGCGGCGCGATGAACAGGTAGACGGATCGAGGAAGGAAGGGGATTTTCCAGGTGCTGGAGTCTCCCAGACCGATCACATTAGTGTGAGCGTGATGCATCTTCACGTGAGCCTGAACGCCGGCCCGCGCAGAGAACGAGCCGCACACCTGAGAAACGCCAGAGATGAGCAGCAGCATTCATATGACGCATGCAGGAGTACAAAAGAGACCACATTTCATCAAAATCTGTTCTCATTTAAGAGTTTTGGGATTTTGAAGCATTTAAAACAAAGAAAATGTGATGATGTAAAATGAAGAATTGTGCACTAGTTCTAGGTGACTTATCAAATGTAAGTACATAAGTGTCATTGATCATGTGACTCTTTGTTCAGACAAATGTTCTTGCTTTCACTGAAGCTCAAGATGTACTTTGGAACACCTCAAATCATGATGGATTTTAATTTAATGTAATGATTGAATACATTTTTAATTTAAATATTAAATCATTAAATTAAAATACTAGATTTAATTAAATTAAATATTTAGATTATTAAATATTTTTATTTTATTTTA